AGAAACCTGCAACATAAACAAATGGTTTTTTTAAATTTTTTAGCTAACTGAATCTCCTACCAGTCTATGTTGTGCATCTCAGTTCTGCAAGCTCCATTTGGTTTGTGTTGAGTCTTTGCATGAGAGCTTTGAAGGAGTGAAGAGTTGGTGGATTTCAAGCAGTACAGTGGTCCTTGCTCCCGTTTTAGCCATGTTTTATGCATTTATAATGTGATTAGAACTTAAATGTTAACAGTGTGTCTGTTATCTCCAAGATCATCAGCAACGTCCCAGCAGATAGCTTAGTCCGTACAGAGCGTCCTCCCAACAAGGAGATCCTGAGGTACTTCATCCGTCACAACGCACTCCGGGCTGGCACATGTGAGAATGCCCCATGGGTAGTGGAAGATGAGTTAGTGAAGAAATATTCTCTTCCCAGTAAATTTAGTGACTTCTTGCTTGACCCACATAAGGTAAGAGTTTCCAAAAGTATCTGCTTTTCTTTTTCACCCATTCCTCACCCTTAGACAGTCTTGGCAGAGACTTCAGTGTGCACTTTTTGTGCTCCTGAGCTTACATCAACTTAGATGCAAAACAGGAGGGTCTGCTCTTTTGAAGGTTGACCCTCTGCCGAGGTGACACAGCTTGTATGTCTGAAACAGTGGTCTGCTTTGAAAATTTGAGGTATAACTGCCTTTTCTTACTTTTTTTTTTTCCCGCAATAGTTTGTGTTACTTGTCTACAAGTAAAGACATGATTTCCTGGTGGAAAAAGCTGTAGTACTTACCTGGTAATGTCAGTTACTGGGCCCTTCTCATGGTTGCAGTGCAAGAGCTGGATGTCTTTGACTTTGTGATACTTGGTTCTTGTATGGTACTGGATTGACTGATGGCAGATACCACAAATTTTGTACTGAATACTCTTTAAGTAGTTGGGATGGGGGGGGTTCTTCCAACTCTTTGTAATGACCAACCAAACATACTCTTAACGGAGTAGATGCCATATCATGAAATCTGCTGTTTTAGAATCCATCTTTGGGTGTAGGATGCACTATTTTGTTCATTTAGTAAACTCACTTTTTCATGATCCCAGTCTGTCAAGTTTTGTTTGAAAACTAAGAAGAGAAATATTTGATATTCCTTTTTTCTTATCAGGAGTAAAACACCCTTTTCTAGTAAGCTTCTGTGGGCTTCTGAACACTTTTAAATTTGATTAAAGGGGAAAAAAATTCTTCATATTTGAGCTGTTTCCCCTTTCTGTAGTATTTGGGGTCATTGCCTTAATAGAAATTACAACGTTTGGTGGTGTACAAATTCTTTTATTCAGTGCACTGATGGCTGGAGGTGTACCCTTAGTATAAGGAAAAAGACACAACTGTGGCATCTTTGCTTTGGCTTGCACAAGTCCTCGGCTTGATGTTTAGGGATGGCGCTTTCCATAATGTGTTTCCCACTTGGCATAAGGATTGGATTTATGTTGAGTTTTTAAGTCTTGAGAAGTGGCTGGAGAATTTATTCATCCAGAGTTAGCTTTCTGACAAAACAACTTTGTATAATTTGGATATACAGTATAAGCTGTAGATCTGATACTTGTGAATTTGTAATTGCCACAATTCGTATCAGTGCTGATTTCGACTTACTTCAACACAGAATTTTTGTAGAACAGAAGTTATGCAGATGCTGGATTTGGTGATTGTGCAATCTTCACTAAAAAATTTCTCTAATGGGCTAATGAGGGCTCTTAAACTGAAGACTTCAAGAGCGAGCATCCACGAGCCAGAAAATCTGGGTATTCCTGTGGCAGTCTTCACTTCGTGTGTGTCCGTAAATAAATGCTGCTTAAATGCTTGCACCTTGTGCTGTGCTTACCACTGTGGAATTTTTTTATTGCTAAAGAATCTCAAATCTTCAGGCCCTGTTTTCTGGTAATTTAATCTGTAACCTAAAGGTTATGCTCTTGTATTTTATTTTTTGCTTTTTGAAATATATTAGTATTCTGGGTGCGTCCTGAAGCTGAATTTGAAATGCTGAGGTGGTCCTGAAGTCAAGTCTCTTTGGCTGTAGGTTAAACTGTTGTGTGCTAATAGTATGCTGTCAGGTAGGCTATTTCAGCAGCTTAAAAAGTCAGATGTTCAATGCCATTATTTCAGCTTGAATCCTGTCTCACCTTTGTTCCAGATGCTTTCAGGCAGTTCAGAAACCAGTCTCTGCACTCCTGTCACCCATCACTTCTGTGCTCCTTCAGTTTTCTGCTGGGTGACGTCCAGGGCTAAGCCCTACCTGTCGCACTATGAGATCTCTGAGCAGAGGAATAGCTTTTGAGATTAATGTCAGCATTTTCCAGGCAAACGCCTCCCTGCAACCATCTAAGTAGAAACAAAGGGGTTTTGTGTAATGTAGTAGGAAACATTTAAAATGCTATTAAATTACACTATTAAAATACTATTAAATTATACTATTAAAAAATAGTGTAATTTTGTAACGTTGAATGTGAACTTTCTGGAGTGAGCTAGTGACCTCAGAACCAATGTAGTGACTACGGTGCAGAATATTGAAAGTTATTGCAGAAGCCTGTTACGCTTTACATATTGAGTACTCCTTTTTCATTGGAAAAATGCATTAGAAATAAACGTAGGCAAAACTAATTGACAGAAAAGGATCTAGATAACCTTTATTTACCGTTATTAATATAAAATAATATTTTAATTTTAGTATATGACTCTCAACCCCTCGACCAAGAGGAAGAATTCTCGATCACCTGACAGAAAGCCTTCGAAGAAATCCAGAGCTGATGGATCGTCCCTGGGCCAGCCGCTGAGTCCTACTCTGTGGTGCCATGTGCATTTGGAGAAATCTATTATTAGTTCTCCACTGAAGGTGAAAAACTCTAAGAATTCAAAATGCCCTAAAGAGGAGCTGGAAGAGATGATGAAAATCATGTCACCTGCTAAACTTGGTTCTAACTTTCACATTCCAAAGAGGAGCCAACTGGGGAAGGGCAGCAACAAATCCTTGGACAAAAAGCAAAGAGGTAAAAGGGTTCTAAATGGGCAGAAGTCATCAGGGAAATCAAAGTCTCCTAGGAAAGGCTTGAAGACCCCCAAGATGAAAATGAAACAAATGACACTACTGGATATGGCTAAAGGTACCACAAAGGTGTCCAGGACTCCCAGAAATTCTGGAGGCACCCCAAGGTCTTCCAGCAAACCCCAGAAACATCTGCCTCCTGCAGCACTCCATCTCATTGCCTACTACAAAGAAAACAAAGACAGAGAAGACAAAAAAAGTGCTCTTTCCTGCATCATCTCCAAAACAGCTAGGTTACTCTCGAATGAGGACCGAGCCCGTCTCCCTGAGGATTTGCGAGGGTTAGTACAGAAACGCTATGAGCTTCTAGAGCACAGGAAGAAATGGGCCACCATGACAGAGGAGCAGCGAAAGGAGTACATGAAGAAGAAGAGGGAGAAGCTGAAAGAGAAACTGAAAGAGAGAGCAAAGGAGCGAAAGGAGAAGGAGATGAAGGAAAGACTGGAAAAACAGAAAAGATATGAGGACCAAGATCTTAAAGGGAAGACCTTGCCTACTTTTAAACTGGTTGATACTCCAGAAGGACTTCCTAATACGCTCTTTGGGGATGTCGCCATGGTGGTGGAGTTCCTGAGCTGTTACTCAGGGTTATTGATGCCAGATGCTCAATATCCCATTACAGCAGTTTCCCTGATGGAAGCACTTTGTGCAGAAAAAGGAGGCTTCCTTTATTTGAACCGAGTCCTGGTCATTCTCTTGCAGACCCTGCTGCAAGATGAAATTGCTGAAGATTATGCTGAGTTGGGAATGAAGCTTTCTGAAATACCACTTACTTTGCATTCTGCTTCTGAGTTGGTTCGCCTATGCCTACGCAAGTCAGATGTGCAAGAGGAAAGCGAGGTCTCGGATAATGTAGATGAGAGCAAGGATTCAGCAGCTTTTGAGGATAATGAAGTACAAGATGAGTTTTTGGAGAAACTGGAGACATCAGAGTTCTTTGAGTTGACTCCTGAAGAGAAACTGCGGATACTGGGAGCACTGTGCCACCGGATTCTGATGACGTACTCAGTGCAGGACCACGTGGAGGCCAAGCAGCAGACGTCAGCTGAGCTGTGGAAGGAGCGCCTGGCTCTCTTGAAGGAAGAAAATGACAAGAAGAGAGCAGAAAAACAGAAGCGAAAAGAAATGGTGGCCAAGAACAAGGAGAACGGGAAAGATGAAAATATGATGGGAAGAAACGACAAGAAAAAAACCGAGATGATGAAAGTAGAGCACCGGGTAGAAATAGAAGCTGATGATATGATCAGTGCTGTGAAAAGCAGGCGCCTTCTTGCCATCCAAGCAAAGAAAGAGAGAGAGCAGCAAGAAATACAAATGAGAGGTAAGAAAATTACCAGGAGAGTAGAGCATTTGTGTGTTGTGAAGTAGAGGGGAATACGTTAATGGCAAAAGCATTGCCTGGTTTTAAAGGGTTTCCTCACTGGAGAAGTAGAATTGATCTGCTATGGTTCCTATGGCAGCTCAAGATCTGGAATGTTAAGAAAAAGCGGTGACTGCTTCTAGACTTTTATCTGTGGGCGTCTTTGTTCAGTACCTTTCTGATTCTGTCAGGCTCAGGAAGCTTGGAGAACAGAAAAATCTGTTTTGGGGACAGAAAGCAAAAATATATTTGTCTGCATTCAAACATCTTCTGGCTGTTACATACAGAGGAGATGTTTCCCAAAGCACTGCTGGCCTTGCTGCTGTGCATATTGCCAGGTTGATGCTCACAGCCCTTCTCCCAGATAAAGACTTGGGCAATAAATATCAGTGTTCTGTTCCTCACTTTGAATAATTGGTTATGAAATGGTATAAATATAAACTGTCCACTCAAACCTCTGTAAATCACGAAATACCAAGCCTTGTATGCCTCTGTGTAAGTAGTGCTTTTTCCAAAGAAGTATGGAGTATGAAGAGCAAAATACTTTGAAATTACACTTCAGGGATTTTTTTAGTTGTAATGTGGGTACTGGGCAGATGGAAGTGGACAGCATCCCTCCTGAAACAGCTGAAGGACAAGCATCCTGCGTGGTGCCTCCCTTATGTGTCATAGCTGGAGCTGGGGAGTATCTGTTCTGGGAGACCAAGAGTAGGTAAATACCATGGAGTACCCTGGGGGCCCTGCGGAAGTAGCCTAGATACAACCATGCATTGAAAGTAAATAGACCTTTCAGATCTCCTGTTAAGAGCTGCGAGTCTCAGAAGTATCAAAAAGTATCAATCTGGAGTGCTGTCCTACATATCCAGAAAAACGAAATAGCAAGTGTCTAATGTGCTGTAGCTGAGTGGCCTCTTGGCCCCAGTGCTTTTTGTGTTCCAGTTGTTTGACAGCAAGTTCAAGTGCATGGTAAGATTTTACTGCAACATTAAATAAAGTTTGGATGCTACTTCTTGGGATACTTCTTGTTCTTACTTAGTGGTTCGTACTAGTTATATATGAGGAAAAGCAAGATTACATTGACAAAGATAAAAATGTTTGGCTTGTGTACTGAGGAAGTTTAACTCAGTCGTTTGGACTCCACAAAGAAAACTGAGTCTGTCTGACAGGGAAGGAAGGATTAAGCCTTTTATTAAGGTTTAAATTCATCTTGTTTCCTTTCCACATAACAAACTCCAACATTTCAGGTATCTGAGGCTTCTTCCACCTGTTAAAGCAGTTGCTACCAGACATAAAGGTACCCTCAAAGTAGCAAAGATCTCGGTGATGGTGTGGGAGCTGGGCTGCAGAGTTAGCACCTCAGTGCTGATCTGTTCAGGTCTGCAGACGTGGGGGCTGGTGTGGTTTCAGTATGTGAAAAACAGTTCCAGGTAACCGCAATGAGAACTGCATCAGTGTGCTCCTACTGTCACACGGGCTTTCTGTGGGTTTTTTCAGCACGTTTGCTTTCACACCACTTCACTTGCATTTGCTTTTAATGATGTTAGTACCTCTGGGGAAGTAAAAGAGTAGCTGCTGGCAATACACCTATTGTGTTTTGTCAGCAACTGCTCTTTGACATATATCTGTATTATATATATATAGATATATATATCATAGCCAGAGGTTTCTTTTTCACTGGTAAAATCTGTAACACTGGGAGCACAAGCCTCTTTCAAGTTAAACTTATCAGGATTGCAGCCAGTGCTCCAAGTTGGCCTCAGCTTAAAAGAGAACCCAGTGTAAGAAAGCATAAGTGTGTATGTCTTTTCTTCTTTCTTGACTTCTTTTGAAGTCAATACAGAACTTCCTGTTGAGATAACATGGTTACTATCTGTGTTTTTGTGATACTGAAAGGCAAGTCACTTCCATTTCTGTGTCACTGCAGCACTTACTAATTGTTCTTTGCCTTATTGCTCCATGAAGCAATAGCTGTCCTGCAGTCTTTTGGAAGAAAATGGAGAGCTGGAAGCTTGTCCAACTAATGAAGCCTACTAGAGAGGAAAATACCAACCAAGATGAGCATGGCAGCACAATTGAAAATAAGATGCAGGGAGGAACCCTTTAGTTTGGTGTCTTTGTTCTCATTTTGTTTTAACAGTTTTGGCATATGAATAAATTTAAATTTCTGTTCTTTGCTTGCATCTTCCTTACTCTGGCACTCGATGGTGTCTGCTGCAACTGACTTTTACAGTTGGATGGGACAAAAAATCCCTGTCTCATGAGTGCCCACGATGTCCCGTGTTGTAAGCACTGAAGAGTTTGCTGGCAGTGGGGCTCGTTTTGGTTGGAGTCTTGGCTCTTGAGAGGAGGGTCCTGAGGAGGAGGGATGTGTACCTTGTGCTAGCATCAGGTGACAGCAGCAAGACTCGAAGTTATGGCCTCTGACTCCTTGTAGTGGAAGGTGAGAGTGGTGCTTCCTATAGTATGAGTCTCCTGATGTGGTTTAAAGCTCACATTTAGGTGACACGAGACATTTGGCATGGTGAGAGTGGGTGTCACTGCTTGTTCTGATTTTCAGTACTGCTTTAGCCTGGCAGGTGTGGATTAACAAGACAATGTTGCCATGCTGCAATTACTGTAAGTTTTTGTATTTATATTGTTATATAAAAGGTGATATATCGAGTTGGTGTAACGAATATAAGGGTATATTTTTCAGCATGTCTCCTCTAATCAGTCAGGATTGATTACATTGGCAGGACTTCAGAGACTCACCAGGTATTTACTAATCAACTGTTACCAAACTTATCTTGACACAGAAAATGGCTGCAAGAGGCAGAGTAGGTAGTAGCCCTGGGAATAGCCCTAGCAAGAAGTTAACTTTCTCCCTGGGACAGCAGTCAGTATATGATCTCTGTATGCTTGCTTTTACCTGCTCCACTCCACCTCACCCCTTCCATGCGGCCTCCTTCCATCTGCTTCAAACCCTTTTTTGTGCTGCATAGGTAAGTTTTCATTTCTTCATCTTTATTTTTTCCTCAGGTTTTCTCAGGGCACAGAAGCGTGCTGCCCATAGCCTTTTGTGCAAGTTGTGAAGGGGTGATGTTTTTGTTAAACGCATCAGGCTCTGAGCCAGTGTGACTCCATTCACTCTTTTCCTTTTTGTTCAGGCAGTTTTGGATGAAAATTTACCTAATCTTCAGAGATGGGCAAAAGTCTAGAGAGACTCTTGCACCATCATGAGAAGCATAAATCCTGTTGACCTTAATGTTGTTTCTCATGGCAGAAGTCTTACTCCTTACCTAGACACATGAAATGACATATTTTATACTGTAAGACTCTTGCCAAGGAGCCTGCGATGCCAGGATTTTCCTCTCTTTTTTTTCAATAGCCGTGGTATTGAGATCTACTGAAATTCTAATACTGTCATGAGTGGGAAACCTGAGGTTTCTGTTTTAATGCTCTTCCATACCATAGTGTATATGGGGAAGCATGAGGTGTTGGGAGATGTGGCTTGTGACTGTTGTGAGACATTTGTGCCTGGAAGAGGCCTTTTCTGCCAGATCTGCTCTTCCAGTAGGTGAGGTTGTGGGGAGAGCATTCTCCATAGCTGCAGCTGTGGAAGTGCAGGTGTCCATTAGCCATGGTAATTGAGCTGGCCAGAGCAGAAGTCTTTGTCTTATGTTGAGGTGTAGTTAAAAGATCTTTGACCCTGTTGTTATATGGGATTGCACAGCAATGGATGCCACTTTGTTGCTCTAGAATGAGAAATAACAATGAGGACTAATTTCTCCAGACTGGTTTTATCCAGCCTTTCCTCTTTCCTCAGCCCAGTTCATCCTTATGCCTTGACTTCTTAATAGTTCTTGAGGTTTTTCTAGAGTAGTGGGTGGAAAGTAAGATAAAGAGGGCATGGCTGTGCTAAAAGAATATTAACTAAATTCGTCTATAATTTACTTTTTTTTTACCCCCATGATGTAGTAAAATAAAGGAGAATATTGATGTCTGAATACAGTGGAAGAAAACTAATACTTCTCTGTGCTAATTCCAACAGTGAGAATGGAGAAAGAAGCAGAGGAAGAAAGAATCCGGAAGCATAAAGCTGCAGCTGAGAAAACCTTCCAGGATGGAATTGCCAAAGCAAAGCTGGTTATGCGCAGGACCCCAGTTGGCACCGATCGTAACCATAACAGGTAGGAAAGGAAATGATGCTGACCTGCCAGCACTCCCCTCCAAGAGGAGCTGTATCAGATGGCAGCCTCCAAGAAGGGATATGGAGGGTGCTGAGAAGACTGCCTTTGCACTGGACTGCGGAGAAGAGCAACAGTGACATTTTTTGTGTCTAGAGTTCAATGGTTTCACTGGCTTCCATGGCCAGCTTTTGGAGGCTGTCCTGCAGAGGTCAGGATCCAGTAGCGAGTGAAGCTTCAAGGGCTTACACCAGTGCTCAGCACCCTAATTGCCATCTTATTTTTTTTTTCCCATGTTTCTTGCACAGGAATGCACTTAGAATGGATTCTGATAAAAGCTATTCATATTTCTCAACTGTGTGAATATAAAAATAGATGTGTATTCAGTTTTTATTGAGTCGGGCACACAGATGCTTCTGCCCTCTAGGCAAATAAAGGTAGATGTGTGTAAGTAGCTATAGGAGGAGACAGGTACCTGTTAACGTGTTTGTTTCATACAGGTATTGGCTGTTTTCAGATGAGGTTCCTGGCTTGTTCATTGAGAAAGGCTGGGTACATGACAGTATAGACTACAGATTCATTCTTCCCCATCAGAAAAAAGAAGATTTTAAAAAAGACTACAGCCTGGGAGGTATGATCAGCCTGCTTCTCTGTGGTATTTCCTTTGTTGCTGTCTGACTGTTAGAATGGATGCGTGAATGTGAGAGCACTATCTGGTCTTTGTGTTTTTCTGAGGGTACTCTGATTTGAGCCTTTAAACTTTAGAAGCCTGCACACAGGAGCATGCTGCTTATGATGATGTCCCTCCTGCTGCTGCAGGTCTTGAGTCTGCCTGCAATGTACCACATAAGGACCTTTGGGTACAATCACCTCTTTTGAAAGCAGTGAGGTTGATGTCAGCTGTGAACCTAATCCCTCTGGTTTCCTCTGAACCCGCTGAGTTGCGGCATGCCAGGCTTCTTGGATAAGTAGTCAGTTACAGAGTGAGGGTGTCTGTCACAGCGTGAATGTTCAACCAGTAGCAAGACTCCCAGATTCACCTCTGAAATAGTTTCAAGCAGGACAGTCTTTCACATAACCTAGAGCTTTGCTGATTGAGGCCGTTCTGGCAATCAGCTGGCTTGTGTCCTCTCCACCTGCTGTTCACCTTGTGCTGAATGTGCAGACGAGGTGCAGTGGCTTGGCTGAAGTTCTACTGCGTCCTCTGTAGTTATGCCTGGCTGACTTACAGCCTGGGTGGTGGAGCCTCGCAGATAGAACTTGGACATGCTCAGAAATCAGTCTGTGGGAAGGGAAACTTAGCACTTCTATATGGAAGTAGTTCTTGGTATGGAACAGCATGCTATAATCTGACTCCGGTTCCAGTTTCAGTCCTGATCATTTCTTGCTTTTGAAACATCACAGGTTAACACTTGAGTCCATCCACAACAGTGCTGCCTCCAAGGGGCTGCATTGAGCTAAATCAGAGCCCCCACTGGTTGTTTTTGTCATGGACAATGGGCAGAGTAGACATCTGTAGAAGAATGGAACAGGGCAAACCTAAAGCGTGGTGCTTTATCCAGCATCTAACTTTCCAGCCGTCTGTCTTGATGACTTGTTGAGCTGGAGGTGCAATCTTTCAGTGGCCCTCAGTGGGTATATTTTCTTACATGAACTTTTTCAAAACTTGACCAGCTGTGTTCCTGTACGCTGGCTTGCTTCCAGCTGTATTAATTTCTCAGCTGCTGCCTGTGTATTCACCCAGTTATTGTGCAAGATTTCAGCACGTTCCTTTTGAAAATTAACAAGCAAAGACTTAAGTAAGCAAAGGTTTAAATTCACATCAGACTGTTGTCTAAGGTGCTCAGAAATACATCCTATTCATAACTCACTCAGTTCTAGAAGTACTTTTTTAGTATATATCTACAAAGTGAAACTAGTTTTATGTATTTGGAATAGGAGGGATGCTTTTCTTAATTTTTATGTATGTGCTTTATGATGCAGTAATTTCTTTGAAAACCTGGTATCTTATTTCTGTAAACGCATGTACTGTGAGCTTTAGCAAACTCTAATGCTGAAGTAGTTTTCTGCGAGAAATGTGTTCCTGGCCTAGATGCTGAATGTAAACACCTAACTGAAGATAGGTTAGTTTTTGCAAAATAAAAATGCTTACCAATGAGGAAGGTGAATGAGAATACATTTGAGCTTGTGCTTTTCTTTTACAGAGAAGCGGAAGAGCACAGCCACCGATGGCAGAGTGAGCAAGCTTCACCGCGCTGTGCATGCTGCAGACCTTCCCGCAGAGACCACTGCACCCAAGCAGGGACAGAACTTATGGTAACTTGGGCTTTTATAGCTGCAAAATACTCAAAGCATAGAGGCCAAGGAAACCAGACAGATTTCTTTTAGACAGACTCTACTTTATACTTATTATTCTTTCAGTACTTAACGTTTGGTTTAGTTTTGTAACCCTCCAGGCCTTTGTTACTGATGTTATTACTAGTAGTGAATGGCTGATGGGGCAGCCACTCCAAGAGCCAGTGGAACCATCATAATCAAACTTAAAGCCGGTATAAATTAAGCTGGTAAAATGCTACTTTGATGTATTGCTCTTTAAATACTTTATATACAGAATAACTGTTAATTTAGAAGAATTGCTGTGTGCAATTCTGCGTGGGAAAAAAAATCGGTATTGGTAAGCATTACTATAAAAAAGCAAAACCAGAAAAAGTCTGGGGGAGCAGTGACCTAGCCAAGTGTGTCTGGGTTTTCTTTCATGGCTCATCTCAGCAGACCTGAATTGTGGCACATGGGGTCCTTGAGCACATGAAATGAAAGTCTTCATTGAGATCTTTGGAGACAGCTTATGTCCTGCATGTTCTTGTAGTATGTGAGAAAGGCAAAGTAATCTCCCAGCTCCATTTCAGTGTCTTTTTCCTGGGCTTCACAGCAGACTGTGGTGGTGTCTGCTCTCCTGTAGCACCATATCATGGAATTGATTTTTGTTGCTACTGATAATTATAGCTTAGCAAAGTTATTCTTCCTTGTTGACAGCCTGCTGTCACTTTAAAACTTTCCAGTGCCAAGCAGTAGCCACCAACATGTCTTGTGAATCACATCTAAACACCCTACCTTTGAGCATGTTTGACTGTGACTTGCTACGGTAGTTGGCCTTGCCAATGTCTTTTACCTTTAAAGAAAATCTCCTATGTCAACTGTTGCCCTGTGTGGTAAGGAGTAATCAGCAGTGTTGCTGTGCTAGAAGAGACTACCCACAGCTTGACCTACTAAACTGCCTGTGAAGGATTAAGAAGGCACTGTCCCAAAGCACTTGCTCCTGCAGCTCCCCTATTAGCAGTGAGTGGCTTTTCCTCAGAGTTGTCTGCTGCCAATGCACAGAGTGGGGTTTCTTGGTCTTTGATAAATATCACCAGTTGTGAGCTTAGCTGCAAAGCATAGTTCCACTGCTGCAAGTCAGAACTACTTTACTGAAGATGTTCCTGCTCCCCCACCAGGAACTGTCAGAGACTGAAATTTCTGGATGTCCGGATTCATCTAAACCGTCAGCATTGGGTGCTGACTCTTTGTGTTGCTCTGCCCCTTCCTTTTCATTGCGGTCACAGGAGATAGCAGAGTTTCCTCTGCCTGCCTTCGCTCTGTCCAATATTACAATGGCAAATCTCCACCCCTTTTCAGTCTACTCCTTTGCATATCTTATCACATTGGGGGTCAGTCTCTTCTCCAAATGACAGGATGAGAGGAAATGCCCTCAAGTTGCACCAGGGCAGGGTTAGATTGGATATGGGGAAAAATTTCTTCCCTGAAAGGGTTACCAGGCACTGCAAGGGGCTTCCCAGGGCAGTGGTGGATTCACCATCCCTGGAGGGATTTAACAGACGGAAAGATGAGGTGCTTGGAGATGTGGTTTAGTGATGGACAGGTTATGGTTGAACTCGATGATCTTAAAGGTCTTTTCCAACCTAAAGGTTCTGTTATTCTAAACTGGCAGTCATAGAGGACAGTATGGAAGTTCTCTCTGCGCTTTCTGACTGCCTCTTCTAATGCTTGGTCTTCATTTAACAGAGATGGCGAGATGTGTTCTGGTAGAAGGACAAATTATATGAGAAAAAGAGTAGCTTAAATTAATAGTACATATTGGTATAAACTGAAGAGAGCGTAGAGCCAGGTTGGATGAATTAAGTAACAGAATCCCTGCAACATGTAATTCCAGGCCAAACTTAAACAAGCATAGTATTTGATATTAGTGTTGAATTGCTCAGTCGGGTTGGCAACTGTCAGTGATGTGCTGAGAGAGATCAGAGCAGTTACAAAGATAGGAGTGCTTTGTGGAGCAACCACTCATAGTGCCCAGGAGATGCAGCTCTTTGAACCCACTCCTGTGCGCTCTCAGGACTGAATTATGTTCTGTTACCAAGAGCTGCTTTTGTATGAACTGACTGTAATGTATGATATTGTCCCCTTTTTTTTTAAAAAAAAAGGAAACTAAAAGAATTAAGAAGCTTGCTTTGAAAAGAAAATTTAAAAATATCTTAGTGGCAGCCAAAAGTCTAAAACGCTTTCAGAGATACTGTCGTACAAGTTTCCGTACTAGATGGTCAAAGCAAGTGCTGCCATTTACCTTTGGGGAAAAAAGGTTTGGGGGAACTTGGACACAAACCAGCAGAAATAACAAAACATTCTCAGTATGGTTCACCTCAGGATGAGGAAGCTATTAAAGTTCAGAAAGCCTACTTGAAAGCCGTGGTTTAGTCTAAATGAAAGAAATGAAAAGGATGATAAACCGAAGTACAGACTAAAGGTGAAACAATTTTTTTTTTCCCCTTGTGGAACAATCTTGGTTCACAAGATCTGTTGTTACAGGGTCTGCCTTAGGACAAGAGGGAAGCTCTTCTCTTGAGTGAATAATTGGTTCAGCAAATGCTAGAGGAGAATGGGGAAACCTGAAGAAAAAAATTCTTCTGATGCAGAAAAAAGGATCAGGAAATTAAACCAGCAAATGGCCATTTTGAGATAGAGAGGAAAGTACTGCTTCAGATCGTGCAGCTGCTTTATGCAACTCACTGCTGCCAGCTGCTGTGGATCTTTGGATCTGAACCTGTTCAAAGCACCAGTTGGACAAATCACTGAAAGAGGAGTTCATTGAGGAGTGTTAAGTACAAAGGTTCTTGTCCCGGCATGCAAGGAAGTCCTCAAACCAGCATATGCTAAAATCTGTAGAGACAGGTCAAAGAAGTGTCGCTGCATGCATGCTCTGCCTCTTTGCCACTCAGAAATAAGATACCAGGCTGGGTGGGATGGTGTTTTTTTTTTTTTGCCCTGTCTCTGATCCCACAGTGTCTTTGATTTCTGTCCTTCTTGGTACCTGCTAGGAAAGACTGCTAACAATCACAGCACTTGCTGTTTTTTTTACTGAGATGTCACACCTGTGTGCATTCTTCTGTCAGGCAGGCTGGTGGTGTCAGGATGTCGAGCTAAAGCAATGCAGCTGGGAGATCTAATCCAGGTGTAGGCCTCCGTGGCCTTCAAAGTGAGCAGGGGGTGTGATGGCAGCTTTTCAAAGAAAACATAACCACTTCTACCTTAAGCATTCATTTGTGCTGTCTGCATGACTTTCTCCTAACTGACAGGGCCACCTAAGGCCATTTCTGCAGATGAGCAGTAAGCTGCCTTAGCTGAACAGCTTTTCTTTAAAGCTCTAGAACTGCACAGAGCCAGTTTGCTAAGTACCTGTCTGGCAGCTGTCACCATTTATAGGTAAGCTTCCACAAAAAGACAAGCGACAACCCGAGAGCGGTTGTTTCAGGAGAGAGCCAGCAACCAGAACTTCTCTCTGAGGAAATCCATGTTCCTGTTACTGTGTTTTCCTCTGTGGCCATTACCATTGATTTCTCCAGTCTCAAGGACTCCCATGAGCATAGGTGGTTATGGAAGAGTCTCCTCCTTGGCTGCTTTTTGCACATTGTCCTTGCACATGCTGAGACTACTCTGAAGTCCTTGGATATCTACACCTCCTGTTGTTTGGATACAAGGACTTGTTCAGTTATAACTCAAAATGTGAGCATGTGGTGCATAGGAAGTTTCATTTCTTTGTGTTCTGTTTTTACTCTTGCTATTTGTCTCTTGTTCCTGGTAGTACATCTAACGTGGGATTCAGAGTAGCCTCACAGTGCACGTAGCGCATCTTTAGCCTTACCGTTTCATACTCTGGAGCGATGAGACTTTAAAATCAACACCAAATTAACTCTGTGAATGGTTGTGTTTCACACTCCTGCCACTTTTCTACTTGAGGACAGGAGCTGGTAGGACATAGATAAGGGGAGAAATAGATTCCATACTTCTGCCAAGAACTACAAAAACTGTATCTGATGGAAGCGGTTTCTGCTTTCAGTATTTGTCCCCAAAAATAAGAGGGCCCAGTGTTCTGTCCTAAAAGTGCAGAGTCTGAATCATTGCTCTCATTCGGAATCATAAATGAGGTTAAATTGTAAATAAATCATAAATCCTTCTGTCTTCTCCAGACAGATGGACCAGTTCCGTTTCTTACATTGTGCATCACTGACGTTGATGCTTATAAAGAAAACTGCCTGTTTAAAGCTTGTGGGCACATGGTCCCTGAAAAAGTCTTTTGTCTCTACCATGGTGCTTTGTGAGCTGTGTACATAATGGTCTTTGCTGCAGAACCATGAGTTACTCACAACCATTGCAATATATTAGTACACAGGAGACTTCCTGCTCGTCCTGGTCAGAAAGCAGTGGATTTTTGGAAACAGTGGCATCTCTGCAGAGTAACTCCCGTTGTTCTTCATCTATTAGGAATACACCATGATATGACGGGTCCCCTCAGCAGACAATTTGAGTTAACCATGAGTGGGTGCTGACAGATTCCATTCTACAGATGGAGTTCCCCTGTTTCTACCAACCCTCCAGAGCAGGTACTGATCCTGGGCTCCTCTAGATGTTGTCCTCTTGATTTCTTCATTCCCTAGTCTGCAGTCCAGGTTTTTTACCTTTCTCTGACCCTTGCAGCCTGTAGCCTGACAGCAGGTAGGAGTATTCAGCCTGAGTGAATACCGGGACCTCCTTTTGACTTTATGCTTTGCCGTGTGTCCCTTCTGTTTTGGTTACTGACCAGTCTGCTGGCTCCTGTTGCCAGAAATGTAAGAGAAGAATCGAGGCTATTACTTGGGGATGTGGGAAGCCCTTACCCCAGTCAGGATTGCCCCCTTTCAGATCAGTTTGAAGACCTCCGTCTGGTTGTTACTCTCCCAAAGACATCTTTCCCATCGTTGTGTTATTAAGCTCTGTCAGGCCACGTGAAGGGCACTATTTGCCTTCCCCTGCCTCTTATCAAGACCCACAAGCTCATTTCCTATCTTGCCTCCCCTGTTTGTAATGCCAGCCCTGTCTTGTCACACCCACGATCCCAGCCTTGTGCTGGTTGAGCCCTGGTTGGAGGTGCAGGTGGTTCCTTCAGGCAGTAGGGAGCATGTGTCCTAGGTTGAGAACAAGGAGCTGTGGCTGCACTTCTCTGCAGGGTGTCACCAAACTGACACAGGTACTTCTTTGATATGTTTATATTTTGCACATTTGAGTTCAAGCTAATGTAGCACAGTTCTCTCTCCTAGAAATCTCAGGGCAAATAGGGAAGACTCAAGAACCTGTTGCAGATGTTCTCCCTTCCCTGTCCCGTTTTCCTTTTCACCAGGAATGAAGTTGTGTCAGGGCTTAACCCAGGCTTTCTTCAAAGCATGATACCTGCTGCTTTCTCATGCTGGCCAGCAGCCTGTGTTGTTTTTCCCCAAACCACGTAACACTGGCGAATCCCAGTGCCACACATGCTGGCTGTTTCCAGTGCCCGTTCATTGTTTTACAGTAAGACACAACTGTGCAGGAAATTTCCCCCCTTGGATGTGCAGCATGGGGGAAAGCTCAGCCATGGTCTTCTCCGATATTTTTCCAACTGGGCCCTGTGCTGTGTCGCCAGCAGTGACTGATGTTGTTTCATTGTGACCTAGGTGACCTTCCCAACATGCTGAGAAACAGTTCTCTGTTTGGCATCTGCAGGGCAACTGTTTTGAAACTTAGTTGATGCCGTCCCCGTATTGTGATACATTCTTCGTACTGAAATATGGTTTAGGACCACTCAAAATTTACTCCTAGGATTTGGAAGCAATTTGTTACCAAATATCCTGGAGACATTTCTCTTTATGTAGCAGAATTTCAGTAGATGTAGAAATGCTAGTCCTTGTGGTGATCTGTCTGTAGACCTTCCCATGAATGTAGGAATGCAAATTAGTGGGTGGTATCTATAAGAAAGAGACAGGAGTTATGTTGTTACAGGTTTATGTGAATGTCTGTTGGATCCCACGACCAGCCCTGGGTTGCTCCCATTTTTGAAGTGCCTGTGCCAGGCTCTCGTGGGTGAAGGATATTTGAAGCTGCTCTGTCCTGTTTCTTGTGGGCAGGGTATGCAGAGAGCAGTGGTGGCCAAAAGATCTGTTCTCACTGTGCAAAGTGAGGATGTTGTGCAGGGTTGGGGTGTACTGAAGCAGGTGACTGGCAAGAAAATATTTTTCTTCTGTTTTTGAACAGTCAATTCTATGTTTTATTAGAGTAATCAGTTTAGTACCTGAACGCAAATTGTGAGCCTGTTCCCCTCATATGAATATATTAGAATGCTTAAATATTTTCTTTTCAGATACGATATTTTGTTAAGTATTTCTGCCAGAAAAATAAGCATTGTGAATACTGGTATTCCTAGAGGAGCCAGAACAGCATCTTTCCCAAAAAATCTGAACTTGTGCCCAAGAAGAAAGATTAGATATGGAGTCTTCTCTGTGGCTGGTAAGGATCACACAGTGGTCCTGTGCCGTTGTTTCTACGAAGCTCAGATTGAATCCCTGTACTCATCAGGTGAGGACTTTCCACAGCATCCTAGAACAGAGTTGGGGAAAAAAAAGAGGAAGAGGGCAGAATTTCTGGCTGTCTCAAAGCTGGTTTAAATCTACAACCCAGTCTTAAAAGTTGATCGTAGTCTGGAATTGTGGAGAGGATGCCTTGCGAGAACTCTGCAGAAGTTTTCAGCTGACTGCCGACTGCCACCGCTGTCCTGAAGGACTTCCTGAACAGAAAGGTTTAAAGCTAATGGATATGGTTTTCACATACTGCGATTTGAGCTTTGGAGTTAATGTGGGCTACTTAGAAAGGAGGACTTGTGCCCTTGCAGGGGCATAGGCTCCACTGTCGCATATGTACATCAGCAGTTGTGGTATAAGCTGAGCTATAGCCTTTGTTAATCTGGGGACTTCTCCGGTTAGTGAAAGAAGTTGAAGGCTCTGCAGAAAGAATGATGAAATTGCCATGCTATGCAGTGCATAGCATGTTAATCTTTTCTAGTGCATCTAAAATGACATTCAGATTCCTTAAACTGACTGCAACTTAGTGAATCTAATCCCTGGGGTAGATGACTAAATTCAAATGCCAGTGTTTTAATAAACTTAACGGGGGAAAAGTCTATAAATCAGTTCTGTGTTTATTTTGTTTTTATTTTTCTTACCCTAGAATTGGCTACATGTGGGGACCTTGAAATGAGGCCAGTCTGAGTCAGAATGCTTGTGCCAGTATTTCTGGAAGCGTTTCACCTTGCTCCATGGGGTTGGGATATAGGTTACTTGCCATCCCTGCCTACTGATACTTGTGAACTATTTAGGAGAATAAATTGTCTTGCCGCAGAGATACTTTAGCTGATGTTGGTGCGTGGTTATACCTTTCAGGTTTCTCTGTGACAATCAGAAGGATTTGGATGAGCTGCTAAATTGCCTGCACCCACAGGGAGTAAGAGAGAGCCAGCTGAAGGAGCGCTTGGAGAAAAGGTGAGCCTGCTCATTTTTCTCTGTAAGCCTTCTCAAAGTCAAAGCATATCCTTGTCACAGCAAGGCTTTCCATTCCTTGGGGCAGCATTCTGCACTTTGCTTTGATCATACCTGTGCTGAAGAGGGGAGGAAACTGAGGATGAGAAATTGCTCTTTTCCTTGGACAGTAGCTGCAGTTTCTTGATAAGCAGTGCTCTAAACTGTGAAGAGGTTCTGTCAGTCTTTAAATTGCTCCTTGCAGCTTGGAAACAAAGGCAGTGCTGTTTCACTCACAGAGCCAGGACTACCAGATGCTTTCAGCATCTTTGAAAGAACGCTCTGCGCTGGCGGAACACGTAGATCACTGTTGCTCCTGTGCTCGAACAGCTCGCAAGGCGCTGGCCAGCATGTGTTCAAAGGTTGGTTTTGATTTTCCAGGTATCAGGACATCACGCATTCTATTCATTTGGCTCGGAAACAGAACCTGGGCCTCAAATCCTGTGACGGCAACCAGGAGCTGCTGAACTACCTCCGAAGTGATCTAATTGAGGTTGCAACCCGGCTGCAAAAAGGAGGGCTGGGATATGTTGATGTGACGCCAGAATACGAAGCAAGAGTGAGTGAATAAGCAAAGTAGTGCTGAGCAAGTCAAACATGAGCTGATACTTTCTGGTCTTGAGTCTTTGGTTTCCTCAGACAAGAGGATCAGGGAAATCAGTTTTCTTGTTTGTCCTCTCTTTCTAAACTGTTATTTCAGGATTACCCAGCTGCTGGCTTCAGGTCCTTTTGGTGTAGGTGGGTCATAACTTTGGAGCTAGGTGTCCTGCACAGCTGTTAAATAGTCCTGTTTCCTTCCTCTGGTGGCAGACTTCTTTATGGAGCATTAGCAGAACTTTTTGTAGCTGATTTTTAACTTCTGCATCAAAGCCAGCATGTGTTATTGAGACAACAATTTTCCTTTGTGGAATTGGAGGGGTTTTTTGAGATTTTTGTTGTTTGTTTTTTTTTTTTTTTCTTCAGAAATTCAGACCACTTTAGGCTTGGGGTAGTGACTGTGTCCCAGTTCCAGGGCCTAAAGGATGTTCTGTTCATGGGTATGTCAGCACAAGGAAATTGCTGTGTGGTGAACTGAAGTATGATTTATTTATTTACTTTAAATGCTCTGGCTAGTTCAGCTTAACTCACATGAGCATTACTGGTGCACTGAGTGTCTTTAGGAGGGGATAAATCTGCCTGGTGTGAGTAGAGCCCACACTTCTGCTCCTTTTGCCAAAGGACAACATTGTCTGGCTTGGAATGGTGGAAGCTCTGTTGAAGCTGCATCCTACACCACTGCAGAGACTTTCCTGTGTAGATGAGACCAGTAGTGTTAGGAGGGGAAAAGTAAAGTCATTAAAGGAGTGAAGGAATTGCTTGGTGCTTGGTCATCATGGGTTTGTGTTTTTTTGGGGGGCAGGGTTGGTGTTTTTGTGGTGGTGTTTTTTCAAGGCGTGATGCTTTTTTCTGAACAGTGCTATGTGTGATCATCAGCTACGTATGAGCTCTAGCAGAAGCAGCAGCAATATGCTGATTCCATAACCAAGCATGGTAGATAACAACATTGCATTAAGTATCTTGTGTATCCATCTGCAGGACAGACCCACCTAAAACAGCACAGAGTAATGTCCAACTGTTATGTGCTTGTATGCTCTTCCTAATAGGTATACTCACTGGAGAGCTTGAAGGATTTTGGAGAGTGTGTGATTGCACTCCAGGCTGGTGTTGTTAAGAAGTTTCTGCAAGGTTTCATGGCCCCCAAGCAGAAGAGAAGGAAACATCAAGGAGAGGACTACATTGCCAAGGCTGAGGAGATAGATGAAGACAAGAAAATGGCAGAAGAAGCTAAGGTATTGTTCTCTTCAGGGCTCTGTTTCGATCTTGTAATATAATACAATACATTTAGGGACAATACATTTAGTCAGGTACTAGATCCTGAGCAGCTTCTCCCCATCCCCAGTACTGAGTGTAACGGGTCTGTCATTTATGGGGCCAGGTATTCCCTAGTTATTTTGAATAGTGAAGGTATTGGCAAAATAAAAATCATACCATGGAATCACAGTTAATTTTCTCTCTATGAACAGGAAATGGGTACAGGCAAATATTTATTTATGCAGCTCCTCGCACAAGTTAGGTACTTTAAAAGAAGCATATTGGGGAGTATTTTTAAGTTATATCCAGCAGAGAGGACTAATGGTGGCTTAATGCCTTTGATCCATGAGGAGGAGGAGAGACATGTTGAGATTTTGGTAACTGTGAGGGAGTTAGATTTGGGTAAATATCAGTGTTATGCAAGAAGAGACAAGTCATCGTATGCATGGAGGAGACACCTCTGGAAGATGCCACACTGGATTGCACACAGCTTGTCTGGGCATCAGGGCTAAACCAGATGTGTCTGCAGTAGACGGGTGGTATTGTGAGGCTAAATCAGAGCTCAGAAGGGATGGAGAAGAGCTGTGGAGGAGTTGGTAGGGTCCTGCAAGGCAGTTGAGCTGTACCAGGGTTTCTTCCTAAGAGGGTTACTAGTGCTCGGTGCATGGAGTTGAATGGGTCATTTAGTGACTTGTGCCAGGACTTTTCCCCACTGCCCCCCTTCAGAATGCTCTGCCCTGGTTGATCACTGACTTCAGCAGAAAGAGCAGGATCAGAACTGGATCAACAGAAGCATTTGAAATTCCCAACTTAAAAAGGAAATATGAGATACTTGACTCGTGCTGGGGTGTGGAGTTTTTTGTTGGATTGAGTTTTTTTAAAGCTCCTGTCAGTGTATGCTGAACGGTGGTTGTTTGAACATCAGGTCTTTGCTATGCAGTGGCATTGCCGTGGTAGCAGGATATTTGGATAGGCACTAGAAGTTTTCACATTCCTTGATTATCCTGAAGTACTTAAATTTTGCTAACTTTGAGTCTTCCAGTCTTTAGTGCAGAGGAAATGAAAGCTACCTTACCCTGAAAGCAGTCAGCAGAATACAGAGCTGTAAAAATCGGTTACGTCTGGGACAAAAAGGGCCTGGATCATCACATTTCCCCTGTCTACAGCAGCACCGTATCGTGCCTTACTTGGATGTGTCTTAGAGCTGTAACCATAATGGTTATACCTGTAGAGCATGCTTTATGGGTAACATCAGATTTACTGGAATACCCAAATGGATAATAACTTAGCAGCTCTGTATTTGAACCCTGGTCACTCCTCTAGTACTGCTAAAGCTATATCAGATTTCAACCCCCAACTTTTATTTGCCTGAAAGTGGAACCGTTTTGATCACGAAGGTTTGGTTAGTTTCTCCACTCCACCCTGGAGCATTGCTCTCTTAGTCAATGTCACGGTTATGGAGCGTTGTTTGTTACAGCAAGGCCAGGCTTTGTCCTAGCCATGGCAGAACTTTCAGCTCCAGCAGCCGTGCTAGACCAAGAGCTCTGTGGCTGAAACATCCTGGTTTACGCTTTCTCCTCTGTAAACCAGCTGGAACAGTAGGATTTCTGAATATTGCTAGACTTGTAATCGTAAGTTACTTTGAACTTTTTTTTCCTACTGTTAGACAGGTTGTCTAATGCAGCTGCGTACTTAGCTGTACAGCTCAGCCTTCCAGGTGTGTGGGCACAGATTTCAGGGTTGCCAGTCTGAGTGGGTGGTTGTGCAGATATCCCTCTGGAGCACTGGCTTTTGTGTTGTGCTGATGTGTCTGGAGCATTTAGTTACGCAGTGCAGTGTCTTTATCTGACTCAGTTTTCTAGACATCTCTAGTGGTAGAAGCAACGTTCAGCTTTTTTGTTGGGTTTTTGGGTTGGTTTGGTTTTGTAGTTTGGGTTTTGTTTGGGGTTTTTTTGCCACAGTTTATCTGCAATGAGCTTTCTTTTGCTAAAGCAGAAAACCTTTATAGATGACCTTGAAAGGGCAGCCCAGATCTTAGATATAGTGAGCTGATAGAAAAAAACCTGACTGTTAGGCTTTAAAGACAGATCTCCTGCATAGGCCAAGAGTTACGAAGTCTTTTAGAGCCACAACTGCACTGAGAGTACATAGCAGATGAAATACAGCATGGCCATACTGGAAAAACATACTTAATGGACTTAAAGACTGTACAAGTGAAATTGCAGTCCTGCGTTGTAGTTATGTCTCATTTTGCCTGTGAGAAACAAGTTATGGCTTAATAGGCACCCGTTTGCTGACATAGATGTCTATAGTGAGGGTTCCTGCTGGCTCAGCTGCGTAGCCAGAGATCACACTGCTGAGTGGTGAAAGATTGCAGTGCAGCCCTGGCCTGTGGCTGTTTCTGAAGATCACTCTTCTGCCTCAGCGTTTATGCAAACGTTCTCGTTCCCAGTGGCAGCAGCACTGGGGACTGTCCCAGAATTCGACAGGGAATATGTGACGTCTTTGCAGTGTGACATTGCAACACGAGTGCTTGGACACGGTGGAGAGCGTGGGTAGGATACCCCTGCTGCGTGCTGGTCAGGGCTGTTTGCAAGGGAAACAGCAGGCCCTGGGTGGGGGTCAGGCAGACAAAACCTCAAGGAGCAGCTCCACAACCAAGCAATTGCTTTTGGCTGTTCAGAGGATTTTCTGCCCTCTTGTGATACCAGATGAGAGCCTTTCTAGCTGGAGGTTTGTCCACTTTTATCAAAGTCATTCTGAAGATGGAACATCACTGAGGGCTTCTCCTTTAGTATTGTTGTGGGGTTTTTTTGTTTTCCCTGCTAGATTGCTCCTCTCCAGTCAGGAGGGTATTTGAGTAACTTCTTTTGGTCTCCTGTTTTGCCTAGTTGGCACTCTGAACTCCCTTGATAATGGTGCTGCTCAAATGCCATAGTCTCATGATGCTTGGGAAGCAAGGCTAAAAATCTGTTAAATTCCACAGGCTTGGGGAGAAAAATCTAAGCAGAACTTGCCAACAGCTTTTGCAGATTTATCTTGGCCCAGCAGTTACCCAGTATGTTAACAGCAAAACCCATGGAACGGTTACTTGGAAAATCAATTACACAGTATGTGAAGCACCTCAACAATGTTCTGCAAAGAAATAGCACAGCGCTGTGTAATCTGCAGTAGGCTGCGCAGGTTTCCGTTTGTCTTGAATGTCTCAGGCTCAAGGTTCCACACTATCAATGGCCACAAGGATGTTGGCATTTTAGAACGGTTTGTGTGTTTTTCCAAGCATCTAGTGTACACTGTGCTTCCTGAAAGTCAGTGGGAGGAGAATGTGCAACTCTGCAAAAATCCTGAGTTTTGTTTGGCTCCCGAATTGCTGTCAGCTGCAGAGTTTAGATTTTCCCATCTGACACTTCACTGTTTGTTTTTTCATTCTCCTGGGGTAGAAGAACATTAACTTGAATCCTATTATGTCCCTGTCATGTCTAGGCCATCACCTCATTGTTGTAAAGTAAAGGATTAACGTTGGAGTTGAGCACGCGGTGGCTCTGGATTACTTCTCTGTTCTGGTGCATTTCCGATTTACCCCAACGTTGTTGCTGAACCTCCAGAGCCGAGTGTGAGATTTCACATGTGGCTTTGCTATGTGCAGACTCCAGCAGTTGCCTCGGTGTAAATCTCAGGTTTAATGCTCTCATCCTCGCTCGCAGCTAATTCTGGGATTTCACATGCGCTGAGGTCATCTTGTCTCAGGAAAGCGGCTGGTTTCGTATTTGGGGCTCCGAATGCTCTGCCTGTCAGATCCGATTGTCGCTGATGCCGCAGAGGAGCAGGGGGACCAAGCGTGTGGCAGGTCTTGGTGACGGTGTCCCACCGGCGAGTGCCCACTGGAGGGCAGCACCGGCTGCTCGCAACCACCACGCTCCGGTGGTGGTGCCAGCCATCTCCTCACTTCCACCCCGCGTTTACAGCACTAGATTTCTGCCTTTTATTGTCGTAGCCTGATGATTATTTGGGTTAGACTGTCAGAGCAAGAATTTAGTGAAGTTCACATAGGTTGTTTCAGCCTGGCCGTGAAATGCAAAAGGGCTCTACTGTTACGAACAAACTGTCTGCTCCAGTGAGGCTGGTTACGGATCAACCACAAATAGGACTGCTGAGGCTCTATATAAGGAAAGAAATACAGAGTTGAGCTTTGGTTATAAAGGGCCCCAGCTAAAGGATATAAAGACATCTTCAGACTGTAGCGAGCTGTGTCTTTGTGCTTCGTTGTAAGTTGTTAGGTCTGTCTGCAGGTTGCTTCAGCCATGGAGAAGTGGAAGACAGCAATCCGTGAGGCCCAGACCTTCTCCCGTATGCACGTGCTGCTCGGGATGCTGGATGCCTGTATCAAGTGGGATATGTCGGCAGAGAATGCCCGATGCAAAGTGTGTCGCAAGAAAGGTA